CCCTCCCCCGGAACCAGGGATTGAACTCATGCCCTTGCCAGGCAAGTGCTTATTCTACTGAGCCATCTCCCAGGCCCCTTTATTATATGTTATAATAATATATAATATTTTCCCTACCCTTGTGAGATGTAGAAAGAGTGTAGCCCAGGGCTGACAAGATAGTTTAGCTGTCTAAAGCTCCTACTTAGGCAAGCTTAGGCAGGCATGGGACCATGTGCTGCACCAGACCTGCCCCAGTGTGGGCTGAGCCGGCCAAAAAATAATTAAAAAAAAAAAAAAAAGGAAAGAAAGAGAGTAGCCCATTGATATGGTGGGCTGGCAAGAATGCTTGTGGGAATTGGGGCTCCCAGGATGACCAAAGGCACCAGAGCCCATTCAGAAGGTGTGGAGATCGTAAGTATCCTCCATTTATTCCTCTGAGACTTGGTAGTAAGGATGTCAACTGGCAAAATCTAACACGTATTTTTATTCATTTTATTACTAATTCATTAAGTCTTATGCGTCATTCAGAACCTAAGAAAAGTGGTAATTTATTCAGGATAATACATCCTTTCTATGCCTTTTACCATATATATTTCTATTAGTAGAATCAAAAGAATTAGGTTTAAGATCCATAAAGGGCCACAAACTCTCTTTTTTTTTTTTTTTTTTTTTTTGTTGTGTTTTTTTTTTTTTTTTTTTGAGGCGTGCTGGCACTGACATTTTTTTGAGGATGTGCCCTAATGCGGGCGCTGGGGCTTGCCCATAGTGCTCTTGATATATAGGGCCCGGGCATTCTGCCAGTTCTTCTTGAGCAGGGACACCAGGAAGTTGACGGCCAGGTGGATATTGTACACAAGCTCATCATCTATCATCTTCACGTGACCAACAGCCACAGCCAGACACAGGACCTTCCTCATCTGGAACTTGATTGTGGACTTCACTTCGTCAACTTTGGCCACCATGTTTTCGTCGTGGGTCAGCAGGGAAGGGAACTTGCCAGCCTTATTGAGTCCGGGTTCCAGGATTCATGGGATCTGCTTGATCAGGGACTCCGAGGCCAGAAAAGCATCGTACTTCTTGGCCAGCTTTTTAACCAGCTTCTTATTCTTTTTTTTTTTTTTTTTTATTATTTTTTTATTTGTGTGTGTGTGTGGCCAGCTCAGCCCACCAGGGGGCGGGCTGGCTGGCATGTGGTGCTGGGGGATTGAACCTCGGTCCCTGGGCTTTGCTAAGTTTGTTTTAAGTAGGTGCTTTAGACCACTGAGCCATCTCACCAGCCCCCAGCTTCTTATTCTTGAAGAGCTTCTTCAGCGCCTCGATGTCCATGTGGGGGATGTCCACGGCCTTGGCCTCGTCGCAGTGCTGCTGGTCCCCCAGGACGCACGCGGAGAACTTGGGGCGGGACGTGGACTACAGCCGGACGGTGCCCAAGAAGCGCTTGTCCTTCTGAGGGTCATAGTTCTTCAAGCTGATTTGCAGCTCCACAGTCTCTAAAAACTTCCGGCGCTTGTGCTGGTTCCCGTGCAGGACCTCGTGCACCGCCTTGTACAGGGTGTCTCAATAGACTGCTACTCATGGTTCCTTGCGCTGAGGAAAACAAACTCTCTTATTGTGACCTGCTGTCCTGCAATTTTCTGATAGGGCTTATCCAGCATGTGCTCCCAGAGCTGGCTTGAGGTTGCTTTGTGGTCTTCACTTATTTCGTCCTGTTTTAACTCTAGAGGTAACTCCATCCCATGTTTACAATCTGGCCTCTCTGATCAGTGTAAATTCCATCCAGCACTGTGGGACTTGTCTGTTTACCTAAAAAGCAATAGTTAGATGCCAAGCGATGAGCAATATGGCACCTTTGGCACAGACTTTTCCAGCCTGTGCAGCAAGTTCCTGACTTTGTCAAATAGGCTTAGCCCTTATCACTCAAAAGGAATGGAAGAGGCAGTGGTAGGGGCCCGCCTGTCACTGTCAGAGTTGCAAATGAGCCTTTGCATTGTGAGGCTATGAGTCTGCTCAGGCTCCTTATAAATGCAGCTGGACTCAGCCACTGTGTTTCTGAGGCCTTTGGGTCATGAAGTGGATACTGTTCTTGGGAGCCCTTATTGGCTCGGGCATCTGCTGCCAACAAAAATTTCGCGGGTAAGTTCCTCCTGGACCTGTTGTTACATTTAGTGGCTTCTGCAATTTGAGAGGCAAATGGGATTGAAAAGGAGTGGCTGGGGTAGCTCAGATGGTGTGGCCTTGGGAGAAGAGGACCCGAGCTCTCATTGCACTTTTGTCTTCGTGCCATTCTGGACATTACTTCTCTCAGAGACCTGATTTTGGTGGTGAAATCAGGGTTATTTGTCCTCAAGGCCCTCCCCAGCTCCCTGAGTGCTTGTTAATTCTTTTTCTTTCTACCTCTTACCTGTAAGGTCAGATTCAATCATCTCCTGCTTTCTTACTCCTCCATTATTAATTACTATGAAAGACCAGACATGGTTTGTTTTCAAGGTCTGCCATTCTCAAATGGAAAACCCTGGCTCTTGGGGGTTTTTTGGTTTCACCTCTGTCAGCGGTGAAGGCTGTGTACTCAGTGCTTTCTCCCCAATTTCTGGGCTAGGGAGCTTTAATAGGTCTTGCCTAACTACAACTATGAAAATTAACACACAGGGACACACACTTGTACTCTGTGAGTGTGTATGCATCCCACGCAACACATTCCCCTTAGAATGATCTGAGGCTTGCAAGGGAGAGATTTGGGAGCTAGGAGAGATGGAGGGAGATACCATGGTGCCCTGGTAGAAGATTGGATTATAATAACTCATTACTGCAGAATGCTTTGCCACTTGCAAAGAGCTCTTATGTACATTATCTTTTGGATCATGCAACAACTCTGCCAGGCAGGGGTGTTATTTTCCTCAATTTAAACATGAAAAAAACCTCAGCCTTAGAAAGGTTAAGAACCCCCACCCCCACCTCAAGGCATTTAGCTGGTAAACAGGGGAGTTGAAACTCTGAATGCAAAAACCCATACCATTTTCCTAGAACAAGTTAATCTCCTAATAGAATCCTTTATCACATCTGTGCATCTATCTATTGGCTTATGCTCTATTATACTATCTAGTTAAAGGGACTTTGGAGTTGTTTATTGAAGTAATTACTTCTATGAGATTGAGTATGGTGATGACTCGCTCATACCTGTGTTTCTACTGCCAAATAGCTCAGAGGAGTTAGGCATAGCAGGTGGCAGGGCAGGGAGATTTTTCCACAGGCAGCTCAGCAGTAGGTGTGTCGTAACTGCACTCACTGCTGTGTGGGCTGACATATGAAGCTGTCAGGCTCCCACTACAGCTATTCATGTAGCTGCAGAATCCCTATTTCTCAGGACACAGACCTGTCTTCCGGGGCAGTGAGCACTCAGGCCCAGGTCCTAGAGTGCTCACCATAAGTATTTTGCTCAGAAAGTGTTCTGCACCTGAGCCAATTGCAGATAGTTCTAACACTAACAGTGGCACACTCGTCCCCAGATCTGTTCTCACTCCATAGAAGGGAACTCAGAAAAGGTAGGGGATCCTTCCTGGTTCCTGGGGTTCATGGACATGTCCTGGTGATGCCATTCAATGGACACATAGAGGGTAGGGCCGCTGGCCTCTGAGCGTTTGTGTGGGCGGAGCCTGGCTAATGAAGCTGAAAATGACAGCTTCTCTGCTTTGCTTTGCACACTTGGTTCTTTGGCCTCCCCTCTCCTCCTATTCTTTTTTTTTTTTTTTTTTTTTGTGGAACCAGGGATTGAACTCAGACTCTTGCACTTGCTAGGGAAGCACTCATTCCACCGAGCCATCTCCCCGGCCCCTCCTCCTATTCTTTTGCTCGGCTGTTATTTTTTTGTCCTGGTCTTCAGTGATTTTTAAGGATGAAACAATGACAAGGATGCTTGGGGTGCTAGGCCAGCAGACAGCCGGACATGGTTAGTAGTTGTAGAACTGGTTTTAGTGTCAGTGGTAGATGGCAGACATCTGAGAGCCCCAGGGAACCATCTCTGAATATCACTCACAGGGGTTGCTAAGCCTGGCTGGGGGGTGGGGGCAGGTGAGAGAGGCACAAAGAACAGGCCATTTGACTGCTGGCTTAGTGATGGGGGAGGCAGTCACTGACCAGGATACAGGACAAGTGTGAAGGTGCCGGTCGTGGCTGGCAGCAACTGGATAACACTTGGTATTGAAGGGAACCAGAAGCACTCTCAGAAAACTTGTGTAGAGCAGGAGAGGTAGACACGGCCACCTGTGATTCCATGTTCCCCTCCCAGGTTATCTTTCATCTTCAGAAAGAGCTCAGGCCAAGATGTTTGAATGAATTTCCAGATCGTAGTCTGGAGAGGGCATTTTCCAAAGAGAGACAAAGATAGTAAGGGCAAGAAAAAGGCTGCTTTTTGCATGCTGCCCCCTCTTATGTCCTCTGAGCCTTCTGGTATTGATGTTCATCTGATGTTATCAGTACTGCTGCTTTTTAGCACTGTCTGAGGATTGTACCAAACCTTCCCTCCTTTGGTTATGGGAAGCTTCATGGGTGATACAAGCTGGTCCTAGTGGGAGATTGCCAGGCAGTTAAGGAAAAGGGCCGGGACTGCAGGCAGAGGGAACAGTATGTGCAAAGGCGTACCAAAGAAAGTATATGGTGAATTTTGGATTTTGGTGGGGCTGGAGCCAAGGGGCATGGAAGAGAAAAGTGGAGGAGAGTCCGATGGAAAGGGTCCATTCTCACTGGCCCTTCTGCCCTGCTGTCTGCACACCACAGACATTTCTTTAAGCTCTGTATCCTGGCTGATGTGGAATGATGAAATTCACTGTGTAGTTAATCACCGTCAGCGCCAATCAGAGCCACCGTGGTTCACTGTTGGGAACAGTGGCCAGTGGTGTGGGAGCCACTGCTGTGGAAAAAGTAAAGTGCATGAACTTTATCATGGATGAATATACAATAAAATTTTCACAGTCCAAGGAGTTTCTTGTTTTTATGTCCCTCTTTTTTCTCTTCCTGTTCCTCCTCTGTTCCCTCTTGGTGATTTCTCTCACTATTGCTGTTTTACAAATGCCTGATCATGCTGCTAGAGGTATTAATGCACAGGCTCTTTGTAGAAGCCCATTTTAAAGACACCCTTTTTATTGGAATGTTTGGGGGTAGGTAGTGGCAAGGCATGAGTTGCTTGTCTGGTCCTTGTCCTTTGTCAGGAGTTTAAAATACACCCTTTATCCCTCCTTAAATCTGCCTGCCTGTGATGAGAACATGATAATTTGACTCCATCTTCCAAGGGTTGCTGTCTGATTCTTAGCAAGCTTGATGGGTTCTGTATTAGTCCATTTTCTATTACTATAACAAAATAACTGAGAGGGGGATAATGTATAAAGAAAACAGGTCTAGTGTTGGAGGCTGAAAGTTCAGGATTAGGTGTGTATTCCTATCTGTTCAGCCTCTCACGAAGGTCTCTTGTCTGTATCACAACATAGTAAATGGCATGACAGTTGGAACACATGGAAGAGGGAGACAGCACATGGTAAGACAGGAAGCTAGAGAGAGTCAGAGGCCAGCTTCACTATTTTTTTATGATAATCCACTCTTGGGAACTAAGTTTGAGAGATCTACATTAATCCCTCTGCAGGGCCCACTAGATCCCACCTCTTAAAGCTCCTTCCGCCCACAGATGTCACCACTCTGGCTTCCAGCACAGGTGCCCTTGAAACACACACATAAACTATACCCAAGACACAGAAATTGAGACTGAGACCTGGCCCCAGCTCTCGGGGTGCAGTTAGTTGCCCACCTCCAAGGACACGGGACCAGCCGGCTGGGAGAAGACAGGACGCCTTCAAAGGCATCTTCTCCAAACCAGATACAAAATCAGAGTGGGAACCACTCTTCTGTGGGCCATGTCTGCCTGGGGCTGGCCTAGAGCCTCTGAGAGCCCTGAGAACTTTCCAGAACCAAGTAAAACCCTGAGGACCCATCTGGAGTGAACCGGTCTTCTGCTAAGGAACTGCCACGTGAGGCTGCACATTTAGCTCCTTGTGACAGAACCATTTACTTTGTCAACAGGTCCTTCAGCCCACAGCTCTTCCTGCATTCACTCATGTCAAAGGGATGACGCATGCGACAGCATTGAGTGCGGATTCATTGGGGCTGTTACCTAGCAACAGCCTAATGGCTCCCCTGGCTCTCTGAGCGGGCTGAGAGCACAAAGCATGCTTTTTAGGCTTGGCCTTCTCCCACCCACACAGGACTTCAGGCCCTCTTCCTCTGCCGCTGCTATGGAAGCTAAATAATGTACATGAAGCAAGCTCAGGACAAACAATGAGGGGGCTGTGACTGGCAGGCACTTTCTGGGCCCTCTTGGGGGCTGTGAGCAGCAGTGAATCCCAAGTTCAGCCTCACACCTGGGGCCCTATTCGTTTCCACGGCAACACACACGTGTATGGGGCTCTGGGGCTAGATGGGTGGGCTAGCACCCAGCCTCTCCCCTCTGTTCTAAGAGGACGGCAGCTGGCCCTCCCTGGATTCAGGGCTGCTCCCTTTTCCAGCTCTTCTAGGCATGGAAGTTCTGCCAGGGGTTCAGCCCTTACCCCTGACAGTGAAGAAGTGCTTCTTTGTGTCTTGAGTTAGCTTTGCGTGTAGCTCAGGAACATTCCTCTCTGTAAAAATATGTATGTTTTTCATTATAAAGCAATATAACCACATTACAGAAAACAGATACAAGGGGAAAAAAGTAAGTCACCCATAATCCCACGACCCGAACTTGAGCACCGTCAGCATTTGGTGTATTTCCGTTGTCTGTTTTTCTTCCAATGCATCTGCTTTTTCCATATTTGTAATTATGGCATACATACAATTTTTTTGTCCTGCTCTTTCACTTACTATTTCCCTTAAAGTTATACATAAGCACTTTTTCATATCTGCCATGAAGTCTTATTTTTAATGGCTATACATTCTAACCAAAGACTAGCCCACTTTCTCTCGTTCAGTTCTGTCTGGGATAGTGGGTTTGGGGCTTATTTTCCAGTGGAAAGCTCACCATTATCTTCTGCTCCCCCTTTCTCCAGGGACCAGGTTTTTAGGGTTAATGTCAGAAATGGAGACGAGATCAGCAAACTGACTCAGCTAATGGATTCAAACCATTTTAAGGTACGTAGTTCTTAGTGCTCTGGAGGGTTCTGATTGGGGTGGGAGAAAACACTTGTACTGTGGTATTATTTTTATTCCAGAGGAATTTTTCTATATAATCCTGTATTAGTCAATGTGCCATTTATATAGCTGAGAAAAGCTGTAGATGATAGCAGTTCAGTTCTGGGGCGTGAAATCCTGAGTGCGGGCTCCCTCCTTCTAACTGCCATTGACCTAGTACAACTTGGACTCTGGCAGGTACAGTTTGCTGGGCAGTCCTGACCACTTGTTAAACCAGAGTTAGTTATATTTTTAAGTTATATCTCCAATTCTTTTATTTTTTAATTTTTATTGTATTTTTTTTAGCAGAACCGGGGATAGAACTCAGGCCTTTGCGCTTGCCAGGGAAGTGCTTATTCCACTGAGCCATCTCCCCGGCCCCCATAATGTCTCAGTTTTTTATTTTTTATTTTTTTTATTTTTTATTTTTATTTTTATTTTTTTTGGTGGAACCGGGAATTGAACTCAGACCCTTGTGCTTGCCAGGGAAGCACTTTCCTGACCACTTGTGATTGTGAATAGACAATGTCTGCCCTCAGGTGGGGCTCAGCCCTTCAGGGATCACCCTGGATTTGACAGGCTCTAGAGAATGAACTATTGCGTGTTTTACCTGAACTGTCCTTTAGTCTGGTTTTATTTCTGTTCCCTTAAGCTCAATTTCTGGAAGTCTCCTTCCAACTTCAAACGACCTGTGGATCTCTTGGTCCCATCCATCAATCTGCAGTCAGTCAAACACTTCCTGAAGACCCAGGGCTTGGAGTACTCAGTGACAATTGATGACCTACAGGTGGGTAGGTTGTGGTTCTCTTGGCCCAAACAGCCAGTCCAGAGTGGACCTGAGAGATTCTCTACATCTGCTGTCATCCTTTTTCATTCATAGATGAAGAAACTGGGGCAAATGGAAGTAAAGTGCAGTGACTTGTTAGAGGAACAGCATGTTATAGTACATAGGGATCTACTAACTACTAGCTAACTATGAGTGCTGTGTCTTGGGCAAGCTTTTACCTTCTTGAGGCTTCTGTTTCTTTATCAGTAAAATGGCAGTGGTGATCCTCCTCTTCTTTCACACAGTGTCTGAGAAGATTCTTTAATTAAATATATGTAAAACCTATTAAAAAATGGATATATCTTAGGTACCCCAGTGAGTGATAAGTGTACCTCCTTTTTGTTATTTGAAGTTAGGCAGCAAGAAAAGGGGTGGGTGAAGGTACTGGAGACCAGCTGTAAGAGGTGCCCTCTGAGGGAGGGGGAACGTGAGCCACAGTCCCCAGCAAAGGGAACATCACCATCCAGTCCCACAACCTGTGGGGAACAGCAGGACGGTGTCTAGCTCACACTCTCCTTCACCGAGGTGGGTTATAGATTAATTGGTGATTTGGCCCAGGAGCTTCCTGATGGCGTGAGCAGCTGTGAACTTATTAATCATCCTCACATGTCACAGACATCTGCCAGGAAGCTTCAAAGTATGAGTGGTCGTAAGAATTTCTTTGTTTCAGAATAGTTTCCCGAGCTGTGTATTTCAGAGGCACTGGATACCAGATGCAGGCTGATGTCTAGAGACTTCATACTATAGAATAACCAAATAGCACATATGCTTCTTCCAGAGAGTAAGTGTGTTTTGAGTGGCGTAGTAGAAATAAATTAGCCACCAAGAAGTAAAGTTAGATATGTGATACAGATATAGATAGATAGATAGATAGATAGATAGATAGATAGATGATAGATAGATAGATGAAAAAAGTCTGATCCCCCCCTTTTAAAAGAGCAGAATATATTTATTGGGAGAAAGAAAGTTTCTGTCAGAGAGAGGGACAGAAGGGGACCTGAGTGAGTTGCCTGATCACCCCCAACCCTTTTTTTTTTTTTTTTTTGTCATGAAGATTCTTTTAGAAGTAGTGCCTGGGATATAGCTCATTGGCACAATGTCTGTCGGGGAAACACAAGGTCATGAGTTTGAGTCTCAGTATGAGAGAGAGGCGGGGGGGGTGGAGCTTGAGCTTACCATTTCTTTTACTTTAAATTTTAGTTCATATGATTTAAGCTATCTGACATCTTTTGAGTCCTGGACATTTGTGCTGCTTTTCACTGAGGATGCCACTATCTTGGTCCACCCGTGTACCAAGATAATCTCAGGAAAATCATGATCCTGTATTCCCAGAAGACCATTTCATCATGTTGCTGTATCTGTTTTAGGATCTTTTAGATATTGAAGATGAAGAAATGCAACTCAATGAAGGGAAAGAGCGGAGTGATAGTAATTTCAACTATGGGGCATACCATTCCCTGGAAGCTGTAAGTGTTTTGCAGTAGATTTAAGGCCAAGGTTGTTTGTCTCCTGCATTTTCTAACCTTTCTCCAGTGTAGTACCACTTCACAGAGGGGATAGAGTGTGACTCTCTAATTCCTTTCCATTTCTTGAATTAAATCCTACCTGCACCTAATAGCACAGTGAATCACAAACTTGACACTTTCCCCTCAGCATATATATATATATATTTTTTTTCTTTTCTTAAGCAACTACTTAAAGAAAACTATGAAATAACTGCAATCATTTCCAGTCCTTATAACTCAAGCTTCTTCTCTCCTGCTATAATCCCTCACTGAGAATAAAATGTTGTCGGTGCCAGAAAAGTAGACAAGTAGTTATTTTTAAGGTTAACCAAATATTTCCACTCTTTTTTTTTTTTTTTTTTTTTTTTTTTGCAGAACTGGGGATTGAACTCAGACCCTTGCACTTGCCAGGCAAGTGCTTGTTCTACTGAGCTATCTCCCCAGCCCCATCCACTCATTTATCATGACTTCTTATAATGTATATTTGTTCCATAATGCATTTTTTGTGTGGTATTCAGTTGGAAACCACTTTAATAGATGACTGACTTTTAAGATACGCCAAACTTTCTAGTGAAAACTTGGAGCAAAATAATTTCATATAATACTGGAACTTGAGAAATAAGAGGGATTGTTGGATGAAACTACATCATAAATAGTATAATTCTCTTATAACCCTCAGGATCTCCCTCATCTACTAGCTCAGGTAAACTCTGTAAACTTAATTTTATGATTGTAGTTTTCCTGCAGTGTATAGCTCCTTGCAAGCTTAAGGCTTGAACAAATCTAAAACAGTTTTCTCCCTCATCTACCTTAATACATGTTATTATTTATGTATAAACAGAATGTTCCTGGCATGCTTTTCATGAGACATATACTTTTTTTCTAGATGAAGAATTATTTTCAGTGGTTGACCAACTATTTCCACTTCTTTTCCATGATTGTCAGTAGTTTTGTTTATTGTGTACACTCCAACTGCATTGTCCCTTGATCTTTCTTGAGATGAATGTCAGACATCTGCAAAACAGCTGGATAATGTTAGGGGTTCATTTTCAGGCCATGGACAAAAGCAGAGCCCAGGATCTGCACGGGGATCAAACCCATGACGTTAGCCTCATTACTGTGAGGCCTTTCCCAGTTGAGCTAACCAGTTGCAAATGTCACCCAAGGACTCACAGGGGCTGTTCTCTCACCTGCTAGCTGTCTTAGTCTCACTTTCTCATCTGGTCTTTTTTTTTTTTTTTTTTCCGGAACTGGGAATTGAACTCAGGGCTTTGTGTTTACCAGGGAAGCACTTATTCCACTGAGCTATCTCCCTGGCCCTCATCTACTCATTTCTAGTTTCTCTGGCTTTAGGTACCCTTTGCAGGCTAGAGCTCAGCTTTTCTGGATCCTTGGGAGCCCCTTTGCCATAGATTGGTGTGCCATCTCCCTCCTAACTTTTCTTTCTTTTTTTTTTTTGTATTTTAGGGAAGGGTCTACAGGGTGTTCAGGTCTCACTACTAGATCGGACTTGTAGTGATCCATCCATCTGTTTACAACCTCCCAAGAGCTGGGATTACAGGCACGTGCCACCAGTAACTTTTCATTTTCTGTTTTTTGAAGGAAGAAAAAAAATACCATATCCTATAACCACAGAGGGTCCTTAGGTTTCTTGTGGCGATTTCATGTGTGTCTGCAGGATCTCTGGTTTCAGATTCTCCATGTGTGTTGCAGCAGTGGCTGGCAGACCCATCTGTGGACACAGCTTAGTGCTTTAACTTTTCCTAAGGGCTGGCAAGATAACTAAATGGATTAAAGTGTCTGCTTAGGCAGATGCAGGGACTGGAGTTCAATCCCTGGCTGGCCACTCCGGCCCTGCCCCCGAGGCGTGCTCAGACAGCAAATGAGACTAGGCATGGTGGTGCATGCCTGTAATCCCAGCGCTTAGGAGGCTGAAAACAGGAGGATCACTACGAGTCTGATCTACGCAATGAGACCCTGTACTAAATACATTTATTGAAAAAAGTATTAAATACATTAACTTTTCCTAGATGACTGTCCTCATGTGGCTCAGGAAATGCCCCTGGTTTCCTTCACTCTAGGGTCAGTGGGTAGAGCAGAGTTTCTAAGCCCTTTCTGTGGCCAGATTAGCCCATTTCCAAATTTTTACTCAGAGCTGGATCCTAAACCCTCAGCACCTAAGGCTTCCTCTCCCACCCTCTTCCCTGTAACTTAGGTCCCTCTTGATTGCTGGTACCCCCACCCCCCCGCCCAGCCTCCACCTTCCTGAGGAATTACCTTCTCTGTGCTGTATTTGGATTATCTGTGACCTTGGGGGTGGCTTCTTGCTTCTGTTAAGTCTGCCACACTGGCTGCCAGTGTATAAGGCTTGATTTTAAGACTATAAGCTTGATTTTACCAATATCAACTGCAATTTTCCTTCTGAATATAGCTCCTTCTTGCAACCATAAGAATTATACAATTTTATTTATTTTCTTCTTATTTCCTTCTTTTGGTCTTCAAATGATTAGAGAAACTAAAATGAGTAAACTCTATTTAAATTAGTCTTTTCCTACCCCCTGAAAGCAATTGGGAGTATTCTTTTACAACTCATGACTTGTTCTGATAAAGCTTTTAGAAAAAATCACCTTCAAAGTGGGGTACCCATAACATAAGATTGCCCACTGAGATGGAGGAAGTAATTATTACACCTTCTCTTTATATTCACTTATAATACAACCATTTCTGTCTTTTTTGTTTCATCATATTCATAATGTATTTGTTTGGTAGTGTATATAGGTACCTGGTGAATATTCAATTCTTTTTGCCATTGTGGAAAGTGGCTCCCAAAAGGTTTGGGGAATCTTCTTGCTAAGGGCCTTGTCTGAGTGGTATGAAGCTCAGAGTGGTATGAAGGACCATACTTTGGAGCAGTAGCTGTGTCAGTCTCTCTACTAAAACTGAGTGGATTATTCTGTGGAGAAGTGAAATGTGTTATTCTGTAGAGAGTTGTAAAAGTTAGACTCTTCATTGGTTCTTTGTAATAATCATGCCTTAATATGATCAACTTCAAGATTAGGGGCCCAGAAAAAAAATCATGAAGACCAATAAGGTAAAGTTCAGTTACCTACCCAGAAGTAAATAAATTTTAAAACTGCCTTTGGGTTTACTTTTTCATGCTTCAGATTTACCATGAGATGGACAGCATTGCCGCTGATTTTCCTAAGCTTGCGAGCAGGGTGAAGATTGGACAGACCTTTGAAAAGCGGCCGATGTATGTACTGAAGGTGAGGCTCCAGGGCCCTGGGTGTTCAGGACCCAGCCTCAGACCATGGGGGAGGCAGCGGTTCAGTCTCTGTGACTTCAGGGCAGAGAATGAGGCTGGGAGACATCTTTCATGGCTCAGATTTGATCTTATGGGTCTCCTGCCTTGTGTACAGTAGGACTGCTAGAAGGAGCAGTCCTATTCCCTGCTTAGAGGAAGGAAGAGAGAACAGGGGATTAGAGTGCTGGAATTATAGTTGCAGTCCTGACTGCATTCCCACCATCTATTAGTGGCATGAGAAGTTGGGATAGGCCTTCTAATCTATTTTGCTTTTAGGGTTATTTCCTGGCAAAGCTACCTAGGAAGCTAATTTCAGGGCCAATTTTTTTTTCTTTTTAAAAATCAATTAATATTATCTGTATATTTTAGATATAAATACTAATAACATTTTGATGAAATGTTAAACCTAGCGCTGAGCTTCGGCTATACAAACCTTAATTCCAGATAATTCTTTTCTTCTTTCTCTCTCTTTTTTTGTTTTGGGGGGTTTTGGCAGAACTAGGGGTTGAACTCAGGCCCTTGCACTTGCCAGGCAAGCGCTTATTCTACTGAACCATCTCCCCCAACCCCTCTTTTTTTTTTTCAGGACTAAGGATAGAACTCAGGCCCTTGCACTTGCCAGGGAAGTGCTTATTCCACTGAGCTATCTCCCTGGCCCCCCCTTTTTTGTTTTTGATACTGGGAGTCGAACTCAGGACTGGTACTTGCCAGGCAGGCACTGTGCCGCTGAGCTATATCTCTGGCAATTTCCAGATATTTCTAACAGATTCAGGTTCATATTGGCAAAAGGGATAGAAAATGAGGACAATGACATAAATTGCATGAATAATCCAGCCGAGTGAATAAAAAGGAATCTGAGCATATAAACCATGGAACAATTGATTGAGCTAAGAATTTGCCAAAACCTTGGCTTCATAGAAACCCCACAGAACCCAGGTTGATAGCAAATTACCAGCAGGAGAGGAGACCTGCCACTGAGCTGGTTGCTTTAAAATAATTACATTTAGATTATTTGCCCATCTGATGGAGACCTTGGCTTCTTAGCACCAAGCTCTGACCCAAGGGGCCCCAACACTATACCAGAGCTGGAGGTAGAATTCATTACTGCCATTTACAGAGAGCTATAGTGAAGCTCTCGTCCTCCTAATTTAAAACCGAATTCATTTATTGCATCAGCAAAACAGCCTGGTTCATGCACTTTGTGTCTGTCTCTATTGGGATACCATTTGAGGTCTTTCAAGAGACATACTATTATCTCTAATCGTAGCAGCATTCTAATCCACAATAACAATTGTTTCTCCTTCCCATTTGCTCCCAATGCTGGAGAGGTTCAGGCTGCCCGGAGCTGCAGCCAACCAATTAAGCTCCCTGGTCACGGATAAACCCGATAAATAGATGGTGCCCTCAGGAACATTTGGTCTCTGAATTATCTTAAATGAATTAAATGAATAGGAGTGAGCTGGGGAGAAGAGAGGTGAGCAGAGGCGTGGGCAGGTGGGTCATTTTTCTGGCCTCTTTTCCTTTTGCAGTTCAGCACGGGAGGAGGCAAACGACGGCCGGCCATTTGGCTGAATGCAGGCATTCATTCTCGAGAGTGGATCTCGCAAGCCACTGCCATCTGGACGGCGAGGAAGGTCATGTCGCCCGGTATTAGCCAGGGACTCTGGTGGGCCTGTGGGGGAAGGGGCTGCAGAGTCCCACGTGACTGGAGCCAGGGGACAAGGTGGGAAGGCACTCTGTACAGACCCAGGAGGCTGGGATCTTTCCAGATTGGAGAAGTAAATAGTCAAAAGTTCCTGGTCATCCCACCATGGCTGAGTCACAAAGTGGCAGAGAACAAGCTCATGAGTCAGAGAGGTGGACCTACAACACGGACCCATAATGGATCACGCAAAGGGAGAGGGCAACATTAGCACCAGGCTCAGGCCAACTGCCCCCTCAGCCCTTTCTGATCCCCGCCAGGCTCCTAACAATGTCAGAGCCTTTGAAAAAGTCAATTTTTAAGCTTCTATTGAAAGGAAAAAAGCCTACATGGGGAGGGTACACCTCCCTACCTCTTTGTTGGGATTTAAATTTCTAAAATGTGCAACTCCCCACTACTGGAAGGAATGAACGAGGCATGTTCAGCAACACACTGAGGTTGCTACTGTCATGCAGCTGTGTCCCCAGGGTTTGAGGGACTCAGAGAGCTCTACAGAAAGCCACACACCTGGGACAACAGGGAGGTGTCAAGGGTGGAGACTCTTCTAGGAGCTGCCGCTCTTGGCAGGTGTAGGGGATCTCCAGGACTTAGACCTAGTGACCCAGCCTGGTGCAGTGTGGCTGACAAGCACTTTGTCTCTGCTTAGATTGCGTCTGAGTATGGGAATGATCCAGCGGTCACCTCTATCTTGAAGAAATTGGATATTTTCTTGTTGCCTGTGGCCAATCCTGATGGATATGTGTACACACAAACCCAAGTGAGTAATCCTGAACAGGCTACTCAGGCTTGGTGTGAAACTTCCTTATTGAATTTCCTACTTTGCCAGTGCCTTTGGCGAGAGCTTCCACCAATATGCATACTATGAGTTCCCTTGGGATTTCATTCTCTAGTCATTCTCGGAGCTGAGAATCAGCAGGGAGCTTTTTGTGTTTTTGTTTTTGGGTTTTGTTTTTTGTTTTTTGTTTTTTTTTCTAGAGAAAATAGTCTCAGGAACGCTCTATTATGGGTCTGGAACGATTATCATCATTTTACCAATCTTATTCATTTCTTCTCTCCCACACAATCCTTTCTTGATGTACTTTAAAGCAAATCCCAGACATAACGCTATTTCACCCAAAACTACCTTTAGTATGCAGCTCCAGCTGACGATAATACTAATAAAAACCTCAAATCTACTACACCTCTGTCATCTTTGAAAAATTAATGGAAGTTCTTTAATATCATGTAACACCCCCAATTATCTTCAAAATGTCTCTACAGAGTCAATTTGTTGAAGTGGGGATCTCACAAGGTCTGTGCACTACGGCTGGCTCCTGGGTCTCTCAGTGTCTTTTAGTCAACACCAGCACCCCCCACATACATCTTTTTAAAATGTCATTCATTTGTTGGAGAAACCAAGTAATTTCCTGTATAATGTCTTGCATTTTGGATTTGGCTGATGGCTTCTCAGTTGTGCCATTTAATTTGCTCCCTTAGTCCCCAAGCTGGAGCATGCCTGGATTCAGGTGGATTTTTAAAGGCTAGAATAAAGTATGTGCTGTGCTCTTCAAGTACATCAGCAATCATGAAGGCCCACCATGGCACTGGCCCTGCTTCTCCTAAAGCCCATGATTATTCAGTGCATTCCATTGGGAATCAGCCTAGTTCCGTGATGATGAACCTTCCTGAGACTGTGTGTCCAAACTGCAACCCAAAGCTCACTTATTTATCGCAAAGTGACAAGAGCACAATTAAATCCGAGTACTGAGATTTTAGGTTAGAAAAAATAATTGTTATCTGATGCTGCACTGCTGGGGAAACTTGGCCTGCGTGCTGGCAGAAAGGGCTCTGTGTGCTTCTTCACCATGGGCCTAGTCCTTCCATCCAGTTCTCAAGGGGTGTTTTGAGGAAGTCCCTCACTTACAGCCAGAAAGTGCACTCTTCTCTCTCTGAGGCATGAGAACAAATTGCCCAGGCAGGCCCGCAAGCAGCTCGTCCCAACTCTTGTGCTTGTCTCCATCTTAGCACTCAGAAAAATCTTTTACTGCCCCGAGTCCTGATTTACCCCTGGGCGTTTCATGATTTGTTTAGAACCGGTTATGGAGGAAGACGCGGTCCCTGAATCCTGGAAGCCACTGCATTGGCACTGACCCAAACAGAAACTGGAATGCGAGTTTTGCAGGTAGGCGTGGGGGTACAGTTTCAGATTCTGCTGCCGTTGGTGAGCCTGTCCTCCCATGCCCTGAGGAGGCAGGGAGGGAGCAAGTTCCTTCTGTCTTCACTGCTCTACTCACTGAGAGAATTAGGACCATCACTTAGGCTATACAAATTTGCTTTGTTTTGTTTCTTTAAAAAATTTTTATTGTAATTTTTTTAAAACAGTTGCATCAGTGTCCTCTATCTGTCCAGAATTCTGTTTTATTGTTTTGTTTTGCATTGATTATTTTGTTTTGAGATGGGCTTTCACTATGTAATGTAGGCTTACCTTGAATTTGCCTATGTAACCCAGGCCGGCCTCAAACAAGTGATGATCTTCCTGCTTCAGACTCCAGAGTACTGTGATTACAGAACTGTGCCACCATGCCCAGCCTTTATTGTAGCATTGAATGGGAACAACTCAATAATTCCTGTCCACCGAAAAGAATGGTGGGACAGAGTATCTTTGCATCATGATTACAGTCATGATAGTATTGTGATTAATAAATATTTGTGTATTTATTTATTATGATGCTGAAGATTAAATACAGGCCTTTGTGCATCCTTTGTGCCAGTCCTTACACCAATATTTATTTTATTTTATTTTTGAGACAGAGTCTTTGTAATGCAGGCTGGCCTGGAGTGCTGGGATTACAGGCCCGTACCACCATGCCTGGCTACACGAATATTTTAAAACCAATCTCATCATAGAAGTATGAATCCCAGGGGCTGGTGAGATGGCTCAGTGGTCTAAAGCACCTACTTAGAACAAGCTTAGCAAAGCACAGGGACCGCAGTTCAATCCCCCAGCACCACATGCCAGCCAGCCCCGCCCCCTGGTGGGCTGAGCTGGCCACACACACACACATATAAATAAATAAATAAATAAATAAATAAAAGAAGTATGAATCCCAGGGCCTTCCTTATCCCTCATTGTAGCATCACTGTTGGGCAAATTGCAGGTGGGTAGAAGGGCCCCCTGTGGCAACTCAAAAACGAGCAGTGAGCACTGTTACCCTAATGGGAAAGATTAATAAAGCCTTGATTATCTGTTGTGAAAATTAATTCTAGCAGTTTCCTATGTGCACGTATGAGCCCCCAAAGTTTCATGTCTTGGAGAGAGAATGAGGATGAGGTGGCTGGGGTTCGGAGTTCCAGCTGTTTAAAAATCATGCTCCACAGAAGTGCCAGGCATGTGCCAAGTACTTTCCCCTATACCTTATTCTTCTTGCCTAGTGACTCTTATTATCTGAAGTGAGAGAAGACCCTCTAAGATTCCATGGCTGCTAAGAATTAGGATCTAAATTAACTTTCTAATTCAAAATCCAGATCCAACCTCTTTTACTACTCCACATCTGTACTGATATTTTTAATGGCTTGCTCTTAATTGTACAAAATCCACTGGGGGACAATAATGACTGTGGAAAAGGAGCTGACATGAATGTGGGGGCTGAGGGCATCAAAGTTAAGACAGATAGTTCCATAACTGAGGTGATCACACACACACACACACACACACACACACACACACACACACACCAGATATCTTAGGTAGCTGTATTGTGAAGTAACACAGAAGATGATATTTCTAAACACTTATTAAATAATCAAGACATTTTAGCCAGAACAATAGATTACTTTTGGCAGCAGCTGGCTGTTAAGATCTGAACCAAGAGAGTAAGTTGACACCAGAATAAATTGAGTCATTTTCATTATTTATTGGTATTCATATTAATTGTCTAAAATACTTGTTAATTACAACTCATTTTCAAGCATGCTATTAATTATTTATGACAACCACTATTGGCACAATATAAGGTCAACTCTATCCACTTAAAGAAGTCACAGCAAGCGGGATGTGGTGGTGCCCGTCTAATCCCAGCACTGAGCGAGGCTGAAGCACGAGGCCTGCATGTTCAAATTCTGCTTGGGCAACTTATTGAGATCCTTTCTTAAAATAAAAAATAAAAAGTGCTATGGTATAGCTCAGTGGTCCTTGGGTTTAATCCCTTGAATAGTAAAAAAAAAAAAAGAAACAAAATCTCAATAATTTATTTTCCTAGCTGTGATAGATCCAACACCCCTACCTCCCTCTCTGTTCCCTTACTCACAGTCTGTTCAAACCATGGATAGGCTTTGGAGACATTTGCCAGTAGCCTGCCTGTTGTTGATACCTCCAGCTGCTCCTCGGGGTTAAATGTCCTCAGTTACATCATCTTGGCCTGTGGGTTACTGTTTCTGATTGGACTGTCCCCAACAGGAAAAGGAACCAGTGATAACCCTTGCTCTGAAGTGTACCATGGCCCACATGCCCATTCTGAGGTGGAGGTGAAATCAGTAGTGGATTTCATTCAACAACATGGGAATTTCAAATGCTTCATTGACCTGCACAGCTACTCACAGCTGCTGATGTATCCCTACGGGTACACAGTCAAAAAGGCCCCGGACGCCGAGGAGCTGGTGAGTGACAGCCGACTTCCACCAGACCTCGGGCTAGCTTGACTTCCACATGCTGCCAGAGTACCAATCTATAGCTGTAAAGGGAAAATCCAGGAGCATGGGTGGGTGTTGTCAAGGGCCCAGAATTCTCTTCTCATCCTTTGGGATGGGTGTACTGTCAGACATACTGGTGACAGGAGGAAGATAGTGCCTTTTAATTCTATGCCAACTGTGACATTGCCTTGCCTTTTCACCTTTTTCCCAACTGGGTCATGTCACAGCCCCACTACTCACCAAGGACTGTGGTTGTTGGCACTGTGGTGTACAGGGGGGAAGTACTATCACTGTGATTAAGGAAGAGGTGCTCTGCGTCGAGTTCGGTGAGAAGGTACTTACAAGTGGACTGAGGTGGAGCAGGGCTGGCATATGCCAGAGGACTGTAGGCCCCTACCTCTGTGGGGGCTGCTGAAGGGCACTGCTCTGCCCAGGTCGAAGCCAGGCCACAAGCCTTCTGGCCCTTTTCATCTATGGCTGTCCTGTCTGGAACCCCAGCTCCTCAAGCATTTTCTCAGGAACATACTTGGTCTTCCCTTCTGGTTCTGAGTATGACAGTCCTCTCCTTGGGAATATAGAAGATGGGGCCTTACTAGATTCCTAATAGGGTGGGGAGCAGCTCACCAGCCCTTTGCTCAAAGCAGCTCTTCCAGTTTGAGCATGTGCCACACCTGCTTTTGGAGCATGTATCACTCTTCACCCCTAAAGTGGGTGTAGGAACAGGAAATGTAGCCAGGGGAAGTATGGGACAACCTGGGCTGCCTCTATCAGGCTGTGGATCTGCTTAGGTGGGAAGGAAGAAGAGACCAGCAGGGGAAACAGGGTAGGGCTAGGACTCTCCCCAACCCCCAGTGTAGGAGAGCCGAAGAATGGAAGCCTCCAGGATTCATTCCTCTCACTCTGTCCTTTCCTTTTCCAGGATGAGGTGGCAAGGCGTGCGGCCAAAGCCCTGGCTTCCCTGTCAGGTACTGAGTACGAAGTGGGCCCGACCTGCACCACTGTCTGTGAGTACTCATGGTGTGAATCAGTGTTTAGAAAGTGCTTTACAATGGAGTGCAAGAATTTTGAGGCTGTTGTCTGATTGTTTTTTGTGGCTCATGATAGACAGAATTTATGGCAAGTCTGTGGGACTATAGCTATGGCAGGCTCTTTGACTCATGCAGTTTGTCACTTGTCCTTGATGAGTCAGGTTTTGTCAAAGGAGTCTTTGCCTTGGCATATGGATAGTGGTGCTTGTAGGGTGAGGGAGATTCCCCTCTACATCTTACTGTCAGAAATGAACAAGCGTTGGTTGGGATTCTCCCAGCAATGATTAGTATCTAGGAAAGAGAAAAAACCCAAATCCTAGTACTCTGGGAGACTGAGGCAGGCAGAATGCAAGTTTACAAGCATGTATGCAACTTAGCAACTTAGTGAGAACCTGTCTAAAAAAAAAAAAAATCTACTGAGATCCATATATAAAACTGGCGTAGAGGTTCATCATCCATAACCTCACCTTGTAGAAATACCTTTTATTTGGTCTCTCAATGAAATGTTTTATCTGAATAGTGCACTTGATTGCTGTGAGAAACTGCTGGTTCTCTTATTCTGAGAGTCTGTCTTCAGATTTTTCCATTGGGAAAAATACCATATTCCAAGTATAAACATGGGAAGCCCAGCCTCAGCCCTGGAGGGTCCCTATCACCCTCAGCACAGTGCCTTTCAGTACACACTGTTGTGTTCTGCCCACTGGGCAACCTCAGAGCCCCTGCAGATGCGCTGGCATTTCATATTCTCCTCAGTCCAGGAGTTCACTACTAGTTCTGTCTCTGCAGCTTCCCTGTCACGTCTCTTCGGAGGCAATCTCAGCCCATCTCCTGGGTGCACCTCTGGGCTCTGGCTGCACCACCCTCATCTCTGTTTCACTGAGCTGCATGAAGTAGTTAGCACGATGCTGGTATTTGAGTTGCTAATTGCAGTAACAATTCATTAATTATTCATGGATTATTGCTATTAGTGGTATTAAATGGAAACTCTTCAGAGGACACAGCTGGAGACTTTCTCCACCTTCTGCCTAACTAGTCAGAACCAAGCCAGGGACCAAAGAGAGAGGAGGTGTGCTAGGAGCCCATGAGGGGTCTTCAAAGAGCTTCTTGGGTCAGCAAGGTCCTGGCTTTTGGACCAAGCACCAGTTTAAATAATGACCTTTTCCTCCAAATCAAGCACACTTTTCTGCTCAGCATGAGCTGGGCCTACACTAAGGGATCCTCAGCAGATGCCCCCGCAGAGGAGAGAAGTCTCTCTTGGGCACATCCAAAAGCTGTAGCATTTCCTACCTCTTTCAAGAGCCTATATTCTGTCCTCCCTGCTCTCCAAAACAGCAATCAAATTTTTATAATAGTACTCTGCCTGACCCCAGGAGTCTGCAATGTGCTATGTAAATAGATAACATTTATCTTTTCAAGTACCAGTCTTTTCTTAAAGTAACCACCTAGATGAAAATGATTCTAAGATGGGTTCCACACTTTCCTGCTTCTTAAACATAGCACATGGGAGAGATTTGAGCCCCTTCCTTTGGGACTGAGTGGCTTTCTGGACATTAGTCACTATATCCTGAAGACCTAGGATTGTGCTGTTGGACCCCTCTGCTAAATAGCCCCAGCCTTCTCTGCTTCTCTGCTTCTCTCTGTCTCTCTGTCTCTCTCTTTCTCTCTCTAATGTATTTAGTTGTTACAGGATCTCACCATGCAGCTTGGACACATAGTGTTCCTCCTGTTTCATCCTCCCCGGCACTGGGATTACAAGTGTACACTACTATGTCTGAACTCTGTGGCCAGCTCAGCCCACCCTGGGGGCAGGGCTGGCATGGTGTATTGTGCTGGGGATCAAACTGAGGTCCCTGCGCTTGCCTAAGCAGGCACTTAGTCCACTGAGCTATCTCACCAGCACCTTCTGCTTTTCTTCTTCTTTTTTTTTCTTTTTCTTTTTCTTTTCTTTCTTTTTTTTTTTTTTTTTTTTTCTTTTTTTTTTTGTGGCAGAACCAGGGATTGAACTCAGGCCCTTGCACTTGCCAGGCAAACACTTATTCTACTGAGCTATCTCCCCAGGCCCTGCTTCTCTTCTTGTGTCCTTGTTCAGTCAGATCATCAGGGGTCAACTGTCCTGTTTTCAGGACAGCTGCCTCTAGCAATACTTTCTCCTTCTCTTTGTTGATTCTGGTCAACTATGGACTTAGAAATAAGTTCTAGGGGCTGGGGAGATGGCTCAGTGGAATAAGCGCTTCCCTGGCAAGTGCAAGGGCCTGAGTTCAATGCTTGATTCAAAAAAAAAAAAAAAAAAAAAGTAAAACGAAGATTCTTTTTGGGGCTGGGAAGATAGCTCAGTGGAATAAGCACCTCCCTGGCAAGCGCAAGGGCCTGAGTTCAATCCCTGGTTCCGCAAAAAAGAAATAAGTTCTTTGTGTTCATCCGACTGGTGGTTAAATCATCAGTGTTAAAGATATTCATTACAGCATTATTTATCATCACAGAAGACTGGTGAACATTGAAAATATACACCAGGAGAGTGCTGGATAGAAACACATGGTGCATTTGTAGAAATACCACACTGCTCTTTCAGTGAAGGTGGTAGATCTATATACCGAGGAATAGGGAGTGCTAAGGGATCATCTGCAGTTGTTAACTGGAAGATATAATATGTAAAACAGCGCTGGCAGTATGTTCCTGTGAGTGCTAGAAGAAAACAAACAGTGAATGTTGAGCAGGGATCTAAATAAAGTGAAGCTAAATTCCCACACTGACTGCTAAAAGGACGCCGTTTTGCCTACTTTCAAGGTTTTAAGTGTGTTCAGAAATACTGTACTTGAGTTTGCCACAGTGAGGCACCTCTAGAAACTTCTACCATCATCTATTCTTGCTGAAGCTTTTCCTCTGGGTAAATGATGGCTAATGGGACTCACACAGGACTTTAGTGAGATCAGCGGAGCCTGTTACGTACCCTCAGAGCACACCAGCTCTCAGGAGGCAGCAGCCCTAGAAAAATCATCATGCTGCCCTGAGAAGCAACTCTTAGGAACAAAAGCAAGGCAAAAAGGCTCATATGGGGGCCTGCCCGTTAGCGCAGTTGTTTCAGTGCCTGCTTAAACAAAGCATTGAGGCTCAAGATGCTCTGGTTCGAAACCAGTCTCTCCCAGGAAACCAGAGATGCCCTCAAGGCATCTTGAAATGGCAAAAAAAAAAAAAAAAAAAAAAGGCTCATATCTTCATTTAATAGATGTGTTAAGATGTGAGATGTGCTCGAGGTTAGGCTGTCTCATCAGATGGACCTGGATCCAAGCTCTAGCTCTGCCAGTTTCTGTCTGCATTTCCTTGGAGGAACTACCCATTCCAAGCCTAGATTTCTTCATCTGTAAAACAAGAACAATAATACCCATCTCCCTGATTTTTGTTTTATTTTGGCTTTTAATACCCATCTCCCTGATTTTTGTTTTATTTTGGCTTTTGTTTTTTGAGACAGGGTCTTGCTGTTGTTCAGCATCACCTTGGACTCACTAGCCCAGGATGGCCTCAAACTGGGTAATCAGGAGGCTTGCAGGTGAGCTCAGTTGTCTAAAGCGCCTGCTTGGGCAAACTCAGTCAGGTGCAGGGGACCACAGTTTGATCTCCAGCACCACATGCTGCACTAGACCCGTCCTTAAGGCAGCCTGAGCCAGCCAAAAAAAAGAATCCTTTTCAAGTTTTTGGGGCTGAGGATATAGCTCAACAGCATAAGTGCCTGCATGGCAAGTGCAAGGTCCTGAGTTCAATACCTGGTACCACCAAAAACAAACAAACAAACACACACACACACACACACACACACATAAATAAATAAATAAACAGGGTAATGCTCTTGCCTCAGCCTCCTGAGTGCTATGATTACAGGTATGTGCCACTATGCCCAGCTTCACTCTTGTTTCTAAAAGCTTATAAGATCATCAATGTAAAGTTTCTTTTTTATTTATTTTTAGTACTGGGGATCAAACCCGGGACTTTGCACTTGCCAGGCTGGCACTTATACCACTGAGCTATTTCCCCAGCCCTAAAGTTTTTAATGTAATGATTGGCTCATGGTAGATCATGAATGAATAATAGTTGTTATTGATGATATAATTATTTTATTATTTAAGAGTCAAGATCACCTATTTTTGTCCCTTTAGTGATTTTCTGCTCTAGTAGAGTTTGATGGAGAAGGAGTAAAATAGGCCTCTTGCCACTCTAGAGACTTTTTAAAAAATGTGTGGTGCTTGGGACTGAACCCAAGGCCTTCTCCTAAACTATATCCTTAGGGCTTTATTATCTCTTATTTTCAGACAGTGTCTTGCTAAGTCACTAACTCACTCCCTGTGGGCTTGAACTTTAGCTCCTCCTATATCAGCCTCCCAAAGCGATAAGATTACAGGTATGCACCAGTACACCTGGCCACCTCCCTCCAGCCTTTTGGCAGTGTGCTTCCTTCTCTCTGCACATCAGCTATCTCTTGCTGTAGAGCAAATAAATCTCAAAATTTAGTAATTTAAAACAATAAACTTTTTTTTTTTTGGCAGAACCGGGGATTGAACTCAGGCCCTTGCGCTTGCCAGGCAAGCACTTATTCTACTGAGCTAACACCCCGGCCCCAAACATTTATTTTTTGACATTATTTCCTGGGATTGGGAATTCCAGAGCAGCTCAGTTGGTGGGTGGGTTGGCCCAAAGTCTCTTGTGGGGTTATAGTCACGATGTCCTGCAGGACTACAGTAGCTATAGGTATAGCAGGGCTGGAAGACCCGCTGGTCAGGTGACCTACTGGGTGCCTAGTGAGTTCATATTTGTCTTTGAGGTATTTGTCTTTGAGTTCGTGCTCATTGAGGGCTGGCGGTCGTAGTCCTTTACCACATGTACTCCCTGAGTATTCTTACAACATGGTGGTTGTCTTTCTCCAAAGTGAGGGAACCAAGAATGACCACGTCAGAAGTAAGAGTGTTTTTCATGATAGCTCCATCTCTGAACTATCCATTAGGCATGTGGGGGAGGCCAGTCCTATCCCATGTGGGAGAGGACTGCGCAAGGACATGGATTCCAGGAATCGGGGTCTTTGGTCTCTCTCAGAGATTGTGTACTACTCTCCCTCTCTGTGAAGGCTGGTTTGAGTGACCTGCAGGACTGCACCCTGAGTTAGTGGTGAGGTGGGAGTGGGGATTTCAGGTGTTTTGCTTAGGTATGAGTGTCAACCCTCCTGGTGCAGCGAGCCAGAGGCATATGGATGGAGCCCATGTTTCCAGTGACTTGCAGGAAGAACTCTTGAATGTCAAGGAAGGCTAGGCAGGCAGACTTCCTGATACCCCAAAGGGATCTGAGCTAAAATGGTGTCTGCTCTTTTCCCTCACAGATCCTGCCAGCGGGAGCAGCATTGACTGGGCATATGACAATGGCATTAAGTACTCATTCACGTTTGAGTTGAGAGATACAGGGCATTACGGCTTCCTCCTGCCTGCCAACCAAATCATCCCTACTGCGGAGGAGACCTGGTTGGGGCTGAAGACCATCATGGAGCACGTGCGGGATAATCTCTACTAATGAAGGGGCTGTCTGTCTATGTTGATCTGTATCCATGTGCACACTCACTGAGCCCGCTATTAAAGGAGCTCATACTTTCATGCTCAAGCAGACTTCTGGGTTAGAGAGCACAGCTGGGCTGTTCCCCAGAGTTCCCACACTTCTCCAGCCTGCCCAATTTGGATCTGCTGCTTTCCTGAGCCTTTGGTGCAGCTGTCCTTCCACACAGCTGGTTGGGCAGGCTACACAGTCAGGGTTGTCCCTTCCCAGGTGACACAGCTCTACCTCATTTTCAGAACTAAAGAGTGTTTCTGGTGGTTCTGTACACCCCTCTACTTGTAGCCAAGCTAGAAGCCTCTGGCTCTTGTGGGGCGCAAGGAAGGCACTGCATGAGACAACACTTACTTTTAGTTGAGTCATGAAAATGACACAGAGACCTTCCTTTAATTTAGTTCATTCTTTTTTTTTTTTTTTTTTTTTTTTT